AGGCAGGAGGAGCAGTGAAACTTATCCCACTGGAATAGGAGAAAGGAATTGGTGAACATAGCAAGCTGTACTGTGATATTTAAATGTTTATATTGGGTACTATGAAAAAATGTTTAGTGTCAAGAGTTGTAAAGCACTGGAGCAGGGCATCCAGGGAAGTGGGGGAGTCACCACACCTGGAAATGTTCTAAAAATGCGTGTGTGTGACACTTGAGGATGTGGCTCTTGGTGACCATGCTGGTGGTGCTGGGTTGATGGCAGGAATTAATGCTATTGAAGGTCTTTCCCAACAGTAATGATTCTATGATTCTACATTCCCTTCAAGGGGCTGTGGTCTAAAAACAACAGCAAATCTCAGCAGGAGAGAGCGGCACTTACATGTCCAACAATCTGGACTCAGTAGTTCTGCAACAAGCAACTGATTGTCCATCAAGGACAAAGAGAAATATCTGAGGGTGGTTAATTCTCATTCTCATCACCATCCAAAGAGCCTATTCAATCAGTTTCCACATAAGGAGAAATTGAAATTCATCACTGTTACAAATCCTTCCCCTGTGTTGCCACATGAAGGAAAGTTTGTGAGAGATTTATTAAAGACGTGATTGGGGAGACAGATCTGAAACAAAAAAAACCCAAAACCCATTCTGAGTACATAGTACTTTATGAAACACCTATATGGGAAGTCAAAAATTTCATTAATCTCTTCAGAGGGAAGGGACACATATTCCATATTTACCATCCTGCACCACATGCTTATGGAAACCTCCAAAGAGCAGGGCATTAGGGACTCAGTTTTTTCATTTTATCGCCTGCTGGAGTCTGTGTTGAGCAGTAAAGATGGCAAATTACTTGCAAAATTATCAGGCTCCCTCAGTGCTTCAGCCCTGCCCAAGGGAAATAACGTGCTTAGAAATACAGATGTCACCAAGATTAACTTCCAGTGCCTGAAAGGCATTTGTCTGCCTGACCTGAGTGCAGACCATGGCTTTGCCNAAGGAATTGCTGGCTGGGAGGGTGGGCAGGCCCTGGCACAGGGTGCCCAGAGCAGCTGGGGCTGCCCCTGCATCCCTGCAGTGGCCAAGGCCAGGCTGGACAGGGCTTGGAACAACCTGGGACACTGGAAGGTGGCCCTGCCCATGGCAGGGTTGGGGCTAGATGGGCTTTAAGGTCCCTTCCAACCCAGCCTATCCTGTGATTCCATGATATTTACCACCACACATCAGCACTGTCTCATGTGCTGCTGCCACAGCCCGTCCTGAAGCAATGGGAGGGCCTCGTGGCCTCCCTGCTCCCGTAAGGATGGAAAATCCAGGGATACCCCTTTGTTCCAATCACCTGCCTTGCTGTGTACAGCTCATTGTAAAAAGCTGCAAGGCAAGAAAGACCAAAGAGCCATGAAACTATGAGTGCTAAGAAGAAAAAGAAATACATTTTAAAATGCATCTTCTGCTGAAGGTCAGAGAAACCTGCTTCTGGGACTGGTCTGAGAGTGATGCAGAGTGATGTGCAGAGACTCTGTCCAATTCTCCTGTCTCCCTTGTGCTTCTGGGAAGAAAAGGAATCAGAAAGATTCCCTCAGGCCATAATTAGCAGCCTTGAGATTGCTGTGAACCAAAGTTTTTCCAGAGCAGTGTGCTCCGGCAGAACTACATCCATATTACCTTGTAGAGAATGCAAACAAATTCCCAGAAAAAGGCAGGAGGAGCAGTGAAACTTACCCCACTGGAATAGGAGAAAGGAATTGGTGAACCTGTACTGTGATATTTAAATGTTTAGACTGGGTACTATGAAAAAATGTTTCATGTCAAGAGTTGTAAAGCACTGGAGCAGGGCATCCAGGGAAATGGTGGAGTCACCACACCTGGAAATGTTCTAAAAATGCGTGTGTGTGACACTTGAGGATGTGGCTTTTGGTGACCATGCTAGTGGTGCTGGGTTGATGGCAGGAATTAATGCTATTGAAGGTCTTTCCCAACAGTAATGATTCTATGATTCTATATTCCCTTCAAGGGGCTGTGGTTTAAAAACAACAGCAAATCTCAGCAGGAGAGAGGGGCACTTACATGTCCAACAATCTGGACTCAGTAGTTCTGCAACAAGCAACTGATTGTCCATCAAGGACAAAGAGAAATATCTGAGGGTGGTTAATTCTCATTCTCATCACCATCCAAAGAGCCTATTCAATCAGTTTCCACATAAGGAGAAATTGAAATTCATCACTGTTACAAATCCTTCCCCTGTGTTGCCACATGAAGGAAAGTTTGTGAGAGATTTATTAAAGACGTGATTGGGGAGACAGATCTGAAACAAAAAAAACCCAAAACCCATTCTGAGTACATAGTACTTTATGAAACACCTATATGGGAAGTCAAAAATTTCATTAATCTCTTCAGAGGGAAGGGACACATATTCCATATTTACCATCCTGCACCACATGCTTATGGAAACCTCCAAAGAGCAGGGCATTAGGGACTCAGTTTTTTCATTTTATCGCCTGCTGGAGTCTGTGTTGAGCAGTAAAGATGGCAAATTACTTGCAAAATTATCAGGCTCCCTCAGTGCCTCAGCACTGCCCAAGGGAAATAACGTGCTTAGAAATACAGATGTCACCAAGATTAACTTCCAGTGCCTGAAAGGCATTTGTCTGCCTGACCTGAGTGCAGACCATGGCTTTGCCAAGTGCCACTCAGCAAACAAAAACGCTCACGTGAAACTCCAGCTCAGGCCCCTCAATGGCATTTCTCTCCCCTCATCTGGGGGAAGGGTGAACTTCCCCCTCCAAAACCTGACTCTCAGCCCAGCAAGGCTGAAAGACTGCTAAAACTGACACTGTTTGTAGGGCTGACAAAATCTGTTCCTTGCAAAAATAAACAGAAGTTGCCCCACAAAGGGAAAAACAGTGGATTTTTGCTCTTACTATTTCTAAAGATGCACTAAAACCCAGAGAAAGCTGGTTTGTGTGGATGAATTTTGTCACACTCTCTCAGGCCTGGCAGCACACCTTGTATCTGTATCTTGCATCTGGAAGGCCCTTAGTTCATCAGCGTGGCTGGGGTCTCAAAAGGCAGAACTGAATCCCAGGAATTCAGTGGAATTCCAAGACCCTCTTGTCCTTCCCCTGTGGGACCAGCTACCCCAACAGCAAGGACCTCTGTACAACCCAGAGGTTCTGTTATTGTCTCTGAGGTCTACAGAAGTCTATATTCATCTGCAACAAAATTCTCGTGCTCCCAGCTCTGGGTTAAAACCTGAAGTTGCTAAATCAAAAGTTTTAAGGTTCAGAAAAAAGTGTGTGGGTTCTGAAATCCTCCTCATAGGCCGCTTTAGCATTGACAGCCTTGCAACCAACTCCAACTAAAAAGGTGCCTGTGGCAGCACTTAAACACACTTAATGTAGGGTTTTACCTCTCTGTGATGGACAATAGCTTCTTTATGGATTACAGTGTTCATTCTTCTGGCCAGATCCATTGGGATGACTAAAAAAAGACTGAAGATGTAGAGGGAGAAAACAACTAAGTGATAAAATTATAAAATTACCTGACTGCTAGCACTTCACCACCCAGGAGAAGATTTGGGTTAGCAGTGCTAGGGGAAAAAAAAAAAAGTTTTTAAAAAAAATTTAAAAAAAATAAAAGGAAAGCAGAAGATAAATGAAAATTCATAAAACTTCCATTCCAAGAGGTGCTCCCTGCCATGCCTGTGTTGGGAGAATGGAGGTCAGTACCTGCCCTGGCTCCATCTGGCAGGGCCCACAACCCAAAAACTTCTTGCTGAGCTTCCTGGGAGCTCATAAAAGCAGAAGGAACCACTTCATCACGAACACACAGGGCTGAAATCTGACACTCAGTACCACACAGCACTGCTGAGGCCAAAAATACAAGCTGTCAATACCAGCCTGAGGGAATACCAGCAGAAGGGCCATTTATTATTTCCCCTGTTTCTTCTGCTCTTTCCCTGAGTGCCCACTTCTGGGCACTGTCAGACTGTGGTGAAACATCTCTGTAATTCACTACAGCTTTTTATGGAGACTCTCAGAGCCAAGGCTGCAAATGCCACTGAGGAAAATGACGGATGCTGCAGGCTTTAGGAAATTAACCATTCTTTGATTGCTTGCTTAGCTGAGCAATTTGCAATGTGATAGACAGAAATTATATCATCCAGTGTCAATTTGTCTATTCATTTTTCCCTCTCCACATGCTTCCTCTCCTTGATTGAATAATCACTAACAATAATCACAAGCATCTGGGGGAAGGAAGTACATCCATCAGTTTTAATGTCAGCAAGAATGAGGGCTGGTTCCTTCAGCATTCACCACAGCTCTGCATCCTCAAAGTCATTTACATTTTCCCTATACCGGCACTAATACCCAGATTGTATTATTTCTGTTACGTACTCCCATTTCAGTTTATAATCTAGGAACAATAGAATGGCAATTGGGAAAATACCCAGTTTCAAAAAAATAGATGGTTGTTTCATCTGCTGTCATACATTACCACAAATATTTTTATATCTATATTTTAATTCTCTGAGAATACTGATGGAAGTGTAAGCTTGAAAGGCTGAGGCTGAATAAGCCAGACCTGATCCAAAGAAGATGATTTTATATGAAGGATGAAGACAGTAAAGGATGGAGCTGTTAGGAAGGTGTAAGTAGGCAAATCCCAGGGATTGCAGAGGCTTTTCAAAGGCTGCCTGTGCACAGATTGCTACTTCCAGTAATAAATTACCTTTCTGTGTCTAGATATTTTATAGACAACAACCCAGAACATTCAAAATATCAAATTCGCAATTTGTATGGTTGCATAACCCTAAACATCCTTTTATATATATATATATATATATAAATGGTGCTGTATCATAATATAATTCCACAGTGGCATTCTCCAGTTTTGTGAACCAATTTCTACCAGCTGAGCTTCCAACACCCCCTGTTCAGAGACACAGAACAGCAGAAAATACAAAATCAGTTTGAAGGCACAATAAGTGGCCCAAAGATTGCCTTTCCCAGAAAACTGTTAAAGTGGTTTGTTTATTCAATAGAATTAAACCATCTTTCAAACACAGTGACACAGACCAAAAAAGAACCAAAAACCCAAAAAAACCCTGATTACTGTTCTAGTTATGGCTTACAGCAATTGATAGGCTTTCTATCACAACCATAGTACAGCTACAGAAACAATAATAAGCCAAAATTACAGGGTGTAAGGTTGACAAAATAAAGGTCAGTCAAAGGATACAAGAGATTAACATCATCATAAAACCAACATTACTCTGCATGGATTTCTCCACCCCCGCTGTCCCTGGCTTACAGAAACAACAAACATAAAACAGCTTTATTTTTGTCACAGCCCGAGCTCTCCTAAAATGAAGACACAAAGTTTTGCTCCAGTATTCCCAAACTAAGCATTTGTTTCCCACCAGGTGAAAACCAGGGGTATATTCAAGAGGCAGCAGCTGTTCAGTACACTTTACATGGGCTCAATGCAGAGGCTTGATCAGGAACCTCATGGTTGAGAGCAAGGCCCAAAAATGAAGCAAAAATCACCAGATTTGAGTCCTGTCCCAGACAGGGAAGGGAGTTTTCCTCCTTTCCTTATCTCTAAGGGGACAGGCTCTAATGCACAAGAGTGTGTATCACTTGGCCAACACAAGGTCAACAAATAGGAATTAATTCTGCCTTTTCCACACTGCTAAGGCAATATCCAGAGTCTTCACAAGTCATATGGAGCACTGGAGATACTTCAGTGTCTTGGTCCATCAGACAGTTCCAGGTACAACAAACATCTCGAGAAGCAGCCAACACAGTATCTGATTTTTCTGGCTTAATTTGTCACTGTTTTACATGCTAACAGATTTTACAGTGATTAGTACAGTTAAAAATGTACATCAGCTTACCCAAAGATCAAACACTGAGAACATCTATGGCTTCTAAATAGAAAGTCAGACACATTGGTAACATATTTACATCTTTCAATCCTTGAAGCACTGAGGCAGATTTGTCTTTCTTTCGGCTTCCCACTATGGCCCAGTCCCTCACTTCTGACATTTCTTGGATGCTCAGAGCTTTGGGGAGCATTGGAGGTGCTGACAGCCTGGGACAACCTAACGCCTCTTGTACATTTGGATTTATCTTAAGTTTATTTTAAAAAGCACTTAAGTACAATTTCAATTTTGAATCATTTTTTTCCTTTCTTTTTTTTTTTTTTTTTTCTGTTTCTTTTTTTTTCTTTTTAATACCATGCAGACAACACAGGATGCCAAGCAGGCTCACCCACATTAGACAGGATGATAACAAGACACAAAATGATGATAATCTGGGAGGTTTTTTTGGGAGATGCAGGTCACTGTCTTGACTTACAAGCACAGACATAAGGCTTGAATTCTCTTTCTGCTGAACCCAAATGTGAATATTGTGGTAGCTTCAAAGGTAGAGGGCTGCATCCTGCCCTGAACACATTCATACCACTGACAAATTCCACGCTGGTATTTTAAAGCAAGCAGAAAAAACCCCTCTTTTCCTGAGGCCTGTGGTTTTCACACAAACTGTCAGGTACAGAGGGCTCATGTATGATTTACAACTACCACGATGAAATGCTTTGCATAGATGAGTTTGAAAAGATAAATTGATGAAATCTGGGAGAGTGACAGTCACAACACTTCTGCTTCCAGAGAAGCTTGTTCTTTACTCACACCATTAAAAACGTGGTATTGTGGCTGCACTAAATGTCTCTATTTAGTGTTTAGAGACACTTTATGTCTCTAAAGCATATTAAAAAGTGTGTCTGAAATCAAGTGAGGGGGAAACAAGAGGCTGCTTTTCTTGCCCGTGATTAAGGCCCATTTCTGGAGCACACCAAAATTTCCACATGCTTCAGTGGATTTTGTAAAGGCCCTAAGCGTAAAAACTGACTTCTCTGGAGTGAACTGAAACCTCAGCTCACTCCAGAATTTCCCAGGGAACTTGACCCTCTAGGGATTGCCGAATTTCACTATTTCCTTTTTCCTGTACTTACAAAAGCTCCAAGGCTCTCTGCACACTCAAATGCGAGTGAGGTCAGGAAAAAGGCCCATTTCAGAGCGCTCCACGTTCGCTACCCAAGCAGACAAGCCACCTGGGCTCAGAAGATCAGAAAGGACAGATTCCTTCCCTCTCCACCTCTGTGCTTTTTGAAACCTCAGTTTCCCTCCCAGACAAAGCAGAGATTGCTCCTCACTGCCAGGGAGGGCTGAGCACGGGCAGCCCACCCACGCAGCTGCGTCACCACCAGCGCTCCTGCCTTCAAGGCTTGAGCAACACTTCCACTGATTCACCAAACTCCCACAGCGGGGACTATTCTCAGAGCTGGTTTCTTTCCATCTACTACATCTGGCCATCCCGAGTCACCTTTAATCCACCATCAGCCGAGGCTGCAAGAGGGTAGATTTTTGCAGGACTGGAGGAGCTACCCCTGATTGCTGCAAGCTGTGAAAGTTCATCTGTCGTCTGTGTCGTGTTATTCCACAGCACTAAAGGCTCTGGAGCAGCTCTGTGCTTGCAGTCTCCCATGCTCCCTTCACATTGTTTCTCCAGGAGACCACAGGCCTACTCAGCACAGTGCCTCTCCTCTTGGAGACAGCAGCAGGAGGAGCTGTCACGGCGTGGTTCTCCCTTTTGCAATTCATGAGCTGGCTTTGGCAGCTCTGTTGCAATCACAGGAAATATGCTAAAATATTATAATGGCCCTATCGCCATTGATGCCGCTCTGTCCGACAGCAAAGTTGGATTTCATAAATCAAAAGCAATCAGCTAAACTATTCCAGCTAAATACTTCCTTCCCTTTGATGACAGCACTGCCAGATTCATAAGCCTCCTCTGTTGACCTGACAATAAAGTCAAAGCAATCCTAGTTATGAATTCCAACTGAACTTGCATTGCCAGTGTACGCAGATATCAGGAACTTCTTAAGGGATTCTCCTAAATAATGTGAGGAATTGGGGATTAAACTACAACATTTTCTCTCTCCCTGTCTCAGGCTTCATATCCTCAGGAGCAGAGCTGAGATTACAGCTCAAGCTCAGGATGTGGTACCAGACAGCTGACAGCCTTTCTTCATGGACAGATCAGAATTATTGGTGGGGGGGATTTCTCTGCGGCCTGAAGCCTTTCCTCTGGGAAAGCACAAAGTGCTACAGACATCCTTTACTTGCAGCAAACACACCTGACAGCAGCAAAAACACACTTCTTATCAGTCAAGTATCCAGTTGTTCAAAGGCTAGGATTGGATATTTGGAGCTTTGACTGCATGGGAGAAGGGAAAACAAAAACGGCCCCAAACTCAGACAAATGCTTGACTCAGTCGAAAGAAAATTTTCTTATGCTCTGCACAGAAAAGAATGATGGCAGAAAACAAGGAGGGTCCTTCTTTCTGCAAAAGCCCTTCTGCACATGGCATTTCTGACAAATGCCATAGTTTTGCAATCATTTTTTGAGCAACACCTGAAAAACGAATCAGAATGTGAGCATGCTGCGATATGCACTTCATCTCAAGGACTATTTTATATATATACATTTCATTAATCATCTTTCTGGCTTGTGAATCACTCCTTATATCTAAATGTACACCTATGTACACCTTCACAGAAATATCTGGGCCTGTTTCTGCAGTCCCTACACAAATAAAATACCCACCCACCTGAATGGGGGCTCTTTTCAGATAAATGTGGCAAGATTGGGCCTTTGGTGCATACGTGCAAGTATCCTGCACACACTTCTTAAAATCATTAAAAAAATATAGTAGCTATAGATTTATAAGCAATCAAAATCTAAACACAGTAAGACTGCACTTATTACAGTGAATTTACATTGCTCATCTACATGAAGCAAACAATGGAAAGGAAATGTCTGTGACCCTGTAATTACAGATTAACTGTAAATGCAGTTTTGCTTATCCTTTTGTCTCTCCAAAAGGATTTCTTGCAACTAAAAAGAGGGATTTGCACTATTTCTATCAACATATGGATGCTCCTCAAGTGCTTTCCCATCTTTTTTGAAGTGCCTTTTGCAATGTCTCAAACTCCTTTCAGTTGGTTTTGTTCACTTCAATCACCATAGTAAAGAAATATCTCTTACTAAAGAAGGTAACCTTAGCAGAGCAGCAGCAGCAAAGCAAACCTGAAGTCACTACTAGTCCCAAACTCAGGCAGAGTAAGGAGTAAGGGCTCTAAGTACCAGCTTCAGTGTCATTAATGCTATCATAAAACTTAATGCACAGCGAGACGGCCAACCTGCAGTGTCACATTGCTCTCTAAAAAGCACTTTCATCACAGCACTTCATTGTCAAAGCCCTTTGCACACAAATTTACAGAACACAGCAAAGACAAAGATCTCTTTTGCATATTGAATCAAGGAAACCATTTCACCTGCAGGTTCTTGGGTGTGCTGCCTATTTCACAGGTAGACAATACGAGGGGGTGCTCAATAACACGCAGTGTAACTCTAAGACCTAAAACACAACACCACAAATAATATATTAAGCTTAAGCACTGGTCCTTCACCTGCCCCTGGCTGGTGCTTCCCAGGTGAGTTCTGACACCTTCATCAAGGATATGGGTTACTTCTAAGGCAATCAGACCTTGGGAGTCTAGTGTAAATTAAATACACTCTCACACACCATCCAGGTTACTGCTGGCCAGCAGGGACTTTTGAAATGGTGACCATCGTGCTTTCACTTCCTTTGTGATCATTTTATCTGTAGTGTGAGCAAGTTGCACAGCTCTTAGCATAGCACAGACGCTTTTAAAAGAAGCTTTGTGCATTCATGCATTGCAAAATCAAAATCCAAGTCCACATTTGGATTTAAACCCTCTCCCCCCAGCGCAAAAAAGATATCCCTCATACAGAAATCTAAACTTCAAATCCTTGATCAAAGATCTTGTAATCTACATAAGACAAGACAAGGCAACAGCCCTAGTGCTTCAGACTAAGAACTTAGACAGGGAAACTCTGTTCATTTGACTATGCCAGCACAGCTGAAACAGCAAACCTCACCTCCTGTGTATGCCACCACACCAGTATGAAGGGGCACATACCGGTGGGCTACTACAATAAAATAAACTCCAGCATCCTTATGGCATCTTTTCTGCTTCAGGATTTTGGCAGCTGTAACAGGTGAAAAATTAGCTTTGGCATACCTCACAGAGCTACACTGATGACATTTAAAGAATATACCCCCAGCCCTTTTACTATCCTAATAACATTCTCAATATACTAAAACGCCACGTTAAGACATTTGATGTCTCAAGATGCATAATTTTAAAATAAGCATCATAATCTAAGCCACAAAATAACTTCTCTGAATCTTAACTTCATTTCCTGACATCAACTTATTACAGATACCTGAAAGTGTTAACTCCACCTGCACAACAGAGAATCAACATTCAGGTACTTTTACAAAGTCTTCAATAAAAATCAATGAGGAAACTGGTTTTTTTTCTATCTTATGCTGAACCGAAAAATCAACTTGTAAAATATAACTATGTAATCCCCTTGCTCTTCATCTCAAGAAAACCTTGTGAAGGAGCTTGCTTCTTCAGCAAAGACTCCAGTGTGATGCTGAGATGGTGGCTGTAGGAGGAAGTGCACACACTGCCATGTGTTAGCCAGAAGGAAAGCATCACAGACAAGGAGAAAGGAAGCACAATCAGCAGAGGAGAACAGAAATGCAAGACGCAAGAAGGAAGAAGAAATAATCTCTAAAACAGTATCACAACACGATTCACACAGTTACCTGATGCTGTGAATGGGAGTTCAACGTTCTGTTCTATCCTGACTGAAAAAATTCATAAAGTGATTTTGTTTATTCCTAACGCATCTATCTGCTATTTTTGATCAACACTTTGTGACGTTACAGAACAAAGATTTTAAGTTATATATCCCCATTAAGCTATAATGCTAAAGAGTATTTTCAAAAACCTAAAGGCCAGAGAACAGAGTGTTCAATAAAATCTGGCAATACCCCAAGGTACTCGATTCAGAAACCTATGTAAAGTCATACAGTCTATGCTAAAATCCTCCACCACTGTTTTTTCCTCAAAAGTTTAGTGCTTTTCTCCATAGTGAAATGATAAATATATTAATGTGCACTATTTATCCCTAAATGTATTGTAAATGTGCTTCTAATCTGATTTGCTTTCTAGGACAGCGTGTACCCTGGGGCACGGGAGTTTTGCTTCTCCTACACTGTTATGGACCCAACTCTGCTAGCAGGAAAGATGCTGGTATCCTAGATCTTATGGGATTCAATGCCTTGAGGAAATTTATATCAAACAATTATTGCATAATCTCGGGGTGTAACAAAACCTCCTACACCTTACACAGGCCATCGAGCTCCTGCCACGCTTTCTCAGTGTCCCTGTCAGCTGCAGGTCCCCGTGTGAACCCGCAGGATCCCCTTGCTGTGCATGTGGAGGAAATTGAATATTTCCGAGGGCATGGCGTGGAAGCCGGGGCGAGGCTTCACGTTGTCGTAGTAGTGGTGAGTTATAAAAATCCCTGAGGGGTTCATGGGGAAGGCCCAGAAGCCAAAGAGGTGCACCTCCTCGCAGAGCTCCATGGCCGCAGTCACCAGGATCAGCCCGGTGCTGACCCGCTTGGCCCGCACGCCCTGGCCGAGCCAGTAGCGTGAGACGTTGATGAGATACTGGGGGTGGAAGTAATAAACAGCCTGCTGGGACTCGAAGTCGTCCAGGACGTACTTGACCCGGATGGACACGTCTGTGTTGCGCGTGTTGTAGAAGGCCGGCAGCAGCACGGATGCGTTCTCGTACACCTGGAGCACGTCGTAGAAGGGCTTCCTCCACTTCTCCAGCTTGTGGAATCTGAAGGAGAGAGGGTGCGAGGGGTGGTCAGCCCATTCCCAGCAAGAAAACCCCAATGGGCTTTTAATTGAAATATTGCTGACACGGAGATAATTGAGATGATGCTTCAGTTATATCAACGGGAATGTACTTAGATTTGTAGCTACAGCATCAGCATGAAATGCAGGGTGAAAATTCAGGCCATAAAAAAATTCATAATAACCTCGTGGGCATTTCTGATCATGTCTCAGTTCTCATGGTATTATTAGAAGTATGTAATTTTTCCATGCTACGTAGTGCACCATGCAGTGCAGAGCTGTATAAAGAAGTGCCGAACACCAAAGCTAGCATTTAAAATATCTAACTTTAACATTTTTAATAGAAATCCAAAATCAAAGAAATTATTTTATGTTGCTTGAGAAAAGAAACGTATTCCCCCATCAAGAAAGGAAAGCAGTCATGGGCCCAGATATGTCACAAGGTAGCACTGGAACATTAACAAATTTAAAATTAAAATCACCTAGTCAGTCTTGTCTACAGTAAAGTTTCACTGACATTTCTTTAAAACATGTGACAATTTGTGCTACTTTATTTACTTCATGATCTTAATTTTCCAATGTTTATGACTCTGATTCTATGACTTCAGCATTTCAGGTGGGATCCAGTTTCTTTCACCCTGAATGTTTCCAAGACATTTGACTGGGACTTGCAAACAGAGCAGTGGAAGGATGGATCTGTTGTTTTAATTTTAGCTCATTGCCTTTCCATTTTCTGTCATCAAAGTGCAGGTTTAAGTGTTTAACACATTACTACAACTTGTTACTTATTCAATTCAGGATGAAATGTATGATTCATAGTGATGGTATAAAGTAGGATTTGGGAAAAAATATTGTGCAACAGAATTAAGTTAAAGGTAAATTTGGGAAAGCAAGAGAAATGGAAATAATAAAAAAAATACAGAAATAACCTCTCAGTGATTATACTGGGATTGACAGTCACGACATCTGTCTTCACCCCAACGTCCATGAAGTATTTCTCAGATATAGGAGGCAAATTGCATCTATAAAAGAGAGAAATTAGTAAAAAAGTTAAAAATTTCCTTTCGCCTTTTCAGGACTAGAAAATATAATTTATTTAAGCATTTCTGCCAAGCGACAAATCTACAAACAGAGTGAGAATTTAAAATTGTATCAAAACATGCTGATGCCCAAACTATGCAATAATCTAACAAATTCTTGAGGGCTGTGTGAAGACCTCTCTTTTTCCCTCACCACTGAGAGATGACCCCTCTTTGCAGGTGTAGCCAGTGCTCATTTTGCCTCCTAAATAGCAATTTACCTATTTACTCTGGCAGTTTAGGATACAAAATGGATTGAAGTTCCAAGGCCAATCAGCCCATGAAATCAAAGGATTGCTCTGCAGTAGCTGAGATGTATTCAATAATTAATAAACTATATCTAAAACACTGCCTTTAAGATGTTTTGGTTTATACCCAGGAGAATTTAGGGGAAATGTTCCACAAGAGACAAATCAATCCAGACCTAATTAATCCCAAACTATCTGCTTCGTTTCCTTTTCCATTTATAAGCATTTCCCAACACGGCAATAATAGCAGCAATTCTGACTCTACAAGTTCACCACAGGACATCAAAGTTATTGGAAGCAAACTGAAGAGATTTACAAGCCCTGACTTTGCCCAGCCTCCATTCACCTTGGCCTTGTCCTAGATACAGCATCTCACAGAATTTAGAGCATCCCTCAAGAGATGCTGAAGTTACTGAAACTCACACTCGCAAGGTACCACACTGTCTTTGCTTCCAAAGGAAATCCAGCTGAGGAAAAACATCAGCATGTGCTTTCAGGGATAAAATATGTGGCCTGGAAACTGGTTTTAGACTCAGTTTAAGCTCGAGTTAGGCACAGAGTAACATTTTGAAAGCTTTCTGAAGTGATCTGCAAGCCTCCATTAAGACCATCACTGTTAAGAATCCCACATATCAAAAATACTGCTGTGCCTAATTCTCAAAGTTGTCCATACTTCTGAAGAGCAGGGCTGAGCAAAACAGAGAGAAAACTGTGATGGTATTTAGGATAAGAGACGCTTACTGTTTTCACAATACCACAGTTCAGCTGTCAGGATAATATCTCAAAGAGAGAGGACAGTTTGGAGAGCAGAAGAGTGCACAAAATTCCTTCAAGGTCCTTCTCACGCTCAGAAGGTTCACATCCACCTTACAGGTAGTCCATCTTTATCAGGTCAGAGAATTGTTTTTGGCTCTCCTTTTCACAGACAATACCATTTCTAGCAATTTCCTCTGCTGAAATTCCATTTCTTGGGCACCCAAGCACGGGGCATTGTGCTTATTAGACTGTATTTGAGGAAAGTCTTCAAATAATCAGTTTCAATATTTCTGAACAGGAAATTCACAACAGGATTGAGAGTGACTGAATTTTATAAGGCATTTTTCATAATGCCTTATAAAAACTGTCCCATCTACACAAACTGTACTTTTCTCATAAAACTACAAAATCTCACCCCCTCCAGGAGGAATCCCATCTCTAAATTCACTCAGTGTTTCACCACAGAGCTCTGCTCTGGCCAGTAGATGGAGACAGACAATAACTACTAGTAAACGCAATTCTAGTGTGTATTTTATACATTCTATTGTAGTATATCTAATTGCTTTCAGAATTTACTTCCCAGAACAATCCTAGCTGCATGCTGCTAGCTGCATGAAAAGATTTCCCCAAGTGTCCTGAAGGTATTGCTGAATGTAATCAGGGCTGCATAAGCAGCTTGTGAAACGTTTTAAATTATTTCACTGGTGACCAAGATGATGATTTCTGATAGTTTGTCAAGTGGTGACTCGAAAGCAGATGTGTTCAGACCTGACCTTGAACACAAGCTTTACTTTAAAACTGATGTCAACAGACCTTGAGTTTTAAAATACTGGCACATATTTGTGTATAATCCACATTTTGGAGACGGCAAACCAGGGGTTTTTTTTTATAACTGATATATTTATTCATATTCCAGTTCTGACTAAACCCTCTATTTAATTATTACTGTTACCAAACACAACCAAATTTCTAAGTTCTGTAATAGTCTCCTTTTTTTACCAGTTTTGATACAGTTCAAGGAAGAGTAGCAGTAGTAAAGCAGGACATCTATTGAAAGTCCTTAAACATAAATGATATTTGCCAGACATATTTCAGCTTCTGCTTAAAAACTTGCCATCTCCATGTGTCACATGGGCTGCTCTTTTCATCCATACTTATGGTTGTGGTCCAACACAACAGCAGGGAATCCACAGTAATTATTTAATGCATATGGAGTACATTAGGCTTTTAAGAAAAAGAGTTACGTGAAGCCTGGACTTTCCTGCAGACTTTTTTTTTTTTCATTGAAAAGTAAGGTAATAGTTTTCTCTACAGTTGAAGTAAGAGGCAGACACAAGGGTCTGAAAACAATGAATGCTGAATGTAGGACCTGTAAAATTTTTCATATGATGTCAAATTAAATTAAGACTGCACTGAACCAAAATCTGATCTAATTTTTGCTGGTGTGAAGTCAGAGACATTAATTGTTTAATGCATAGTTATTCTAAACTATGACAACAACACAACCAAGATCAGAAAATAGGCCAACTGAAATAAAGAGATTTTTCTTTTCTAGAGAGCAAGTCATGAATCTGTGAGCTAGCGGTCATATGCCATGACCCAGGCAAAGAGCTTAACAGGATTTAGAGAGAGATTAGTCATGCATATGAATAATAAAAAAATCTTTCTCATATATATTAAGGATTATAAAACTGCTGCTAGACTCTCTTATCCAGGGACACTCATCATGGGACATCCCAGTTTGTGTAAAACCTGGATAATTCCACATATAGTGAGGAGCAATGAAGGCTCTTAAGCTTTAAAGTTATTCTGGTGACTCTGGAGGCTCTGGGTTGATTATTGATTACACCAAGTCCTGTTACTGAGCACCTGAGCTCTGCACCAGTCCAGAAACACACCTCTGAGGCACATCAGCTGTGAGCTATTAACATCTCACCAAGCTGCTTGTCACTCAATAGAGGTTGTACCTCTGGCTCAGGTCTGCCCCAAAAAATTATGCCCAGGTTCATGGGACATTGCTTATAGGCTAATATCCATAGAAGGATAAATCCACAACCTCAGTGGCAGGGGATATCCTGAAAGAGAGCAACACACTTTGCCAAAAAGTCAGTTATTAGCCTTATGAAGTTAGGGAGAATTAATTCCTCAAAGCTTAATTTTTTTAAAAAAATATCATAAATTAAGATGATTCAGAGTTTTTTGGTTTTCAGGTTTTTTTTTAAAACATGGCTTTTTGTACAAGAAGCAAGCTTGACATAGCCAATTTAGCAAATGTCATGTTTCCAAGTGAGGGAGAATAGCTTTTCAATGTTCTGTTGTCGTTAGGAAAGGCAAAAAAAAAGGAGAAAACTGGAGCTGTAGTGGTTACCGAAAGACGAAGTCTGCACTGTCAATCTCCCGGCCACATCTGCTGTTCTTCAGAATTCCTCCATTCCCAACCACTGCACATCTCTTAAACTGGGAGCGGTGGTACGGCATGTCCTGCAACAGTACGGCAAGGAAACAGTTAAAGACCCCAAAACATGCAGCCAGAAACTCTCTTTTTCACTTTTTCCCATTTTTCTTCTGCAGCTGCACCTTGATGCATTCACCACAGGATGCTGGCACTGGTTCTGGGGTGCAATATTGCCTGTACACAAAGTGATGGGATATTTTGCAGCACAGGCAGCAAACCCGAGTGGGAAGAAACCCATAACCTGTTCTATTTCCCCAGGTTCAGTAGCATAAGGAGTAATTTTAGACATTTGTTTTCCCCTTTGATTTCCACATCAGGGCACAAACCATAAATTAGTGTAGTTCAGCTCTTTTCTGACCTGCTTGCAAACTGCTGGCTCCTCAGGCTCTGTTGTCCTGCTTTTGGGAAGTCTGTGCACAGAGCTTCAGAAAAGCCCAAGAATTCTGTCAGACAGCACATCACAGAAAGCAGCCCAAATTTTAGTGCTGACCAACTCTAATTGCACTGACAGCATTAATGATAATTAATTAGCATTTGCACTACCAGCACTTTGTTCAGGCGCCTTTTTGGACTCGTGGAGGATGCATCTTCCTGTAATCATTGGGCAGAACCCTGCCTTTTACACACACAGTGATGCAGCTGCTGCCGAAGCCAGAGAGAGTGAAAATCACATCTTGAGAACAAACTGGGCTGTTAGGGTGAGAGGGCTGTGACGCAGAACTGAGCCACGCTACACCTTATGAATATGTAGGGATGTGCTTATATAAGCATGAGAGTGCTCGTTTTTGGTACATACATATTTTATCAATAATCTCATGCTGCAAACTACAGAGGGATGCAGGAGTGGCTTGACATTTCTGGGTGATTATTCCCAGGATCTTTCCACGGCATCCATAAGCCATGAGGCAATTACACCTGTCTGAGGAAAGCAGCAGCTGTCTGGCAGAGAGGAAATATGGAGCTGTCTGTGCTTTATGCAGTGATTTCTTAACACAAAAGGTGCCTCAGCAGCCCTGGAAGGGAAATCAGAAGCCAGGTGCCCATGCTTAGCACAAGGCTTTTGCCTGTAGAGCATTGCTTCTGTGTTTTCAGCCCTTTATTTCCTACATGTGCCAGGCTGCAGTCCTGCTCCTGTGCAGGGAGGTGGCTTTGGTCACTGCCCAGTGACTCCCAAAGGCATTTTGGCATGTAATGACACCTTCACAGCATCCTGATCACACCTGGACAAAAACCACATCAGCTCTGGCAAATTCCTAGCAGATCTCAGGGATTCAGACTTTCATGCACTCATCTGCCTAATCAGGCAGGGTTTTGAGGATGATACTCCTGGACTTAGATGCATCCATTATTTGCATGTCTCCAGATGCCAAAGTGCTCTCCTGGATCCGAGCCTTCCCCCTGCTGCTGCCCCAGTTCCCCACGTGCACGTTCAGATAGCAGCACTTCCCTGCCTCTCAGCAGTGCTCGGAAAGCCAGAGGATTAGAAGTGGTTGCACCCTGAAGGACAGGTTAAACATCACAAATCTAACTGCTTAACCTGAATATACATCTGACTTTTCCACAGGGATAAATTTCAGCTAGCCCCTCCAAGTATGCTGCTGCAAATTGAAGGGGTGTGCCTTGTGATGAAGCCACATCAGCCCATTCCTGCATATTAGTCACTATGTGCAGAGGGAACTGCCCACTGATTATAACCTTGAATACCCCTGGAGGTCAAGTGTTATTTGCTGGAAAGGTTTTGAATAATAATGATGAATACATTTAAAAATTATGAAGCCTGCTCACAGATAATCTGCAAACAGAAGTATAAAAATAGTCACTGTGAATACGAATTATAAAATAAACATGCCAAAAAGAAAAGCAGACCTACCCCCAAATGTTGGATTTATTATATGTGAATATTATACTTCAAAAGAGTTCTGATCAGTAAGTGTCTCTTTTATTTAGCTTTCTTATTTCATTATCCACTTTGCTTCTAAGTCAGCAATATTCTGTAGGAAATTACACACACACACACACACACACACACATATATATATACATGTATGTATGTATGCATTGTATGTATATATTTTGCAGATGACCACCAGAAAACAGGATAAGCATCTAAAGTATTTTATCAAAAAATAAAGATTTTCAAAATACAAGCAGTGAAAAAAAAATGTCAAACAAGTTCTAAATACTTGGCTACAGGATAGTGCCTAATGCACTAAGTGTCTAAATGCCTGAAGTACAGTGAAGCTGATGCTGCAAATGGGCAGAGGCACCTTTGGAAACATTTTGAAGATTTCCTGGTTGATATGAAAGATTCCACTCGTGTCCACTTCATATTTCAGTTTAGTTCCCAAAGGAGTATTTTTCTGGGTGGTGAACAGAAAGGATGGGGCGTTGCAACACCTCGACAGAGTAGACCTGTGAAATGAAAAATAAATAAGATCAAGGAGCTGATGGCATGATATGGGATTTGTTGTTACTCCTAACAAGGTATTTTTCACTAAAAAGAAACTTTTAGCTCTAGGATGGGTAAAATGGTGGTTTGCTGGATTTTCATTCAAAAAACTTCAGATTCAGGGAAACTTTCTTTGATTGAGAAAACTATGGCAAAACAAAAAGAAAAGAGAGTAAATGAGACACCTCACTTCTCTCTTCTAGTCTGTGGGAAATACATGTGCAAATTCTGCCCTGCTCTAAGTCCTTAAAGATGAGCTTCTACCTCCTGGCAAAACCACCTTAATGAATTAATCCCTCTCTACCTTAGAGGTCTTCAACATTTTATAAATCATATACTCGTCACTGGGCAGGAAATGTAGGGGGTTAAAGAGTCCCTCTGGGGGTGTGGAAATATGGCAGGGCAGTATTTAAACACAGCAATACCCAAAGACACTGCCCCACTTACCAGATTGCTGTGGAGCACAGCATGCTTTGATTACAACAAAAAAACTTTCAAATATCTCAGTTTTGCCCTTGGCCTTGCACATGTGTGTATCAGGAAGGTGATGTGGCCCCAACAGATTACAGAGTACCAGGCAAACTGGTCATGCCTAAAACTCGAGATTCTCAGACAAATGACCAATATTTTCTTCGTTCCTGGGACAAAATGGAAGAAATTCCAGTGCAAACAAGAGCAGAACAAAATCTCAACCACGGGATTCAGAGTAAGAGAGAAAAAAACATTCAGCTCTGATCCCTTTGCCATGTTCCATGTGAAATGTTAATGGGAAAAGCAGTTTTGCAGAGAAGATTCCCTTTGCCAGGTTCCATCCTTCCCTGAATGCTTTAGTTCTTTTACTGGTGGCACTGAAAGCCCTGACTTCTGCTCACTCTTATTCCAGAGATGGTTTCTTTCTCAGTCAACACATTTGATACCTTTAATGAAAAATACGTGTCATGGTGAATGTACAAGCACGTGAGGACAAAGCCAAATGGCTCTCAAATAACCCAGATTAAATACCTTGCCTCTAGGGTGTGTGGCCTCATATTCTAAGTTGGAAGAATAAGCCAGTCTTCTTTATGGGCTTTATTACAAGCACAAGAAAGCAAATAGAGAATTATGCAAACATTTCAGTGATGTCCAATTACTCTCAGATACTTGAGTCATGCAGGATGGCACAAAATGACCGTCAGATCAAGGCAGCAAATGAGACTGAAAAAGTCAATGAGTAATGTCTAACAGCAAAAATAATTACAAGCAGATAGTAGAATTGAATTGTTATAGTTGGGATATGAGAAAAACCTCTTCACTGGCTGCTCCTTAAGGAATTGAAAGAGATGTTCTTCCTTAATGTCCAGCTGGTTTTCCAGAGGCACAGTCCTTTATGTGAATGCCTAATATCTGATGGAAGAAGACTCTCAAGGAAATTGCTTTCCTTAGTCTCCAGATACAAACTCTACTGTCACTTCTGCCCTTCCTCCCTCTCTGCTGCTTAAGCAGCTGTCATTTAAAATCTGCTGGATTCTCCCCATCTCCTGTGATGGTCCAGGACTGGCAAAGCTCCAAATCCCACAGCTCAGAGGGTTACACGTTTCAGCCTCCTCCTAAAGAACCTCCAAACTCAGAGACTTTGGTTTGCATTTTTTAAGGGACAGCAGCTTCCCCACACATTCACACACTGATGTCTCTGCCCCATTGAACACAGATGAAACAGACTTTAGACATCTTTTTCTTTTTAATTACAAGCACTACTGTTCCTGAAACCAGCTGACAAGGATTATGTTAGATCTGGGTGCCAGTTCCTGGAGCAATGATGTATCAGTCAGGCAGGTACAGGCAGTGACAGGAGTCTTTCATCTCTTTTTTCTTTCAGTGCACAGGGTGGAGAGGGGTTCTTTGTTTAATGTGCTGGTGTTGGTGGCCTGAGATAGACTGATGGTCTTCCTGGTGGTCTTTGGATAGTTCTTTCCCATTGCTCCCACCTCTGCTCTGGCCTCCAAACCTCAAAGGGCACTTTTCCATACCTCAAAGTGCTGCTTGCTCTCTGGGCACAATCATTACTCCTCTCACTCCAGCTGTTTTTTAAAATAATGAGCTATAATCCTGAATGACTCCTCTCTTTAAAGTGGCTCTGATAATTGCCTATCAAGTAATTTCCAGGAAAAATACAGAAAAACAACAACAACGACAAAAAACCCAACCAAACAAAAAACCAAAAATAAAATAAAACAAACCCTCCTCCCCTCAAAACCCAAAAAAATCAAACAAAAAACCTTGAACACCTAAAAAACTTAGGTGTGGAGATCATGTTGGAGAAACTGTTATAAGCCTGAGACTATACATGTTATTTTTAAAGATGTCAATGACTAACTTAGCACATGCATTCTCACATTCTCTCATTAACTCCTGACAGCTATTTCCTGGAATCACGCAAGAGAATTTGGGATAAAGCTGTGGGCCTTATTATAAACAACAGCTCTGAATTGTACCAGTGACTTGCAGACTTCAGTCTACAGCACTTTTCTTGAAATAGTGTGTTCTCTCAAAACCTACTCAAATATGCCACTGGAATATTTAACATTCAAAAATTGTTTTGGCTTCAATCTACCGTTGCCTTCACAAGGCCAGTTTCAAAAGCTGTGTCTTGAGAGGATGATGGAGGACCTTCAGCAGAGAAGTCACACAAAGAAAGACAGAACACTACAGAAACAAACTGAGAGGTCTCTGAAGACCAGAAAAAATATGTAGATAATCTGTGAGTAATAGCTGAGAAGCCACTAAAATAAAAACAAAAACCAGTCAACAAGAGGAAGTCATTAACAAGGTCTGACAGTACCTAAAACACCCAGAAGAAAACCAGTTTGAGTATTTTGTAGGCCAAATTTTCAGTATCACCAGTGCTTTTACCATTCCAAGCCAGAGTTAGGTTGACATGTTAGGTGCAGCCATTGAACCTCATCTCCATCCTCATTGTTCACCCAAATAACACTTGAAAATTTTCTCCACACCAAATTCCTTGCCTTTCCTGGAAGACTGTTCCATATGCCAGAAAAGCATTCTTTTAGTCCTCCTGCTGTTTGTTTTTTTTTTTAAAGTAGGGGGAAAAGTCTACATTTATTCAAAAGGATGGTACTCCAAATGTTGTCATGCTTACTCTTGCTATCAATAGGAAATTTTGATCTCTCTCTGCAGGAAGCTAAACTCCAACTAAAGTAAATTTTAGTCAGTCTCATTAATGTGAGTTATTCTTACTTGAATAAATTGGCTTCTGTGACATTCATCTCCCATTTGCACATCTGTAGGCTCTTCCATCTGTCAAACAATTCAGTTTGTTTCACCCTAAAATATAAAAAAGAAAGAAAAACATAAAAAATTAGTTTATTACAAGGGCTTAATTTCCTAAAACAGCTGCAGAGAGAGTACCATGCAAATTGATGGGGCAAATCAGTCAGTCTAGACAGTGCAAAATTTATATTTTTTCTTCCTTTTTCTGCTCAGACATAGCCACTCTAAGCCCCATGTATGCAAGAATTGATGTTGGGGACTGATTTCTTCTCCCTGAAAGGCTTTCTCCATTTTTTTTCAGGATAAAAAATGCAATATTGAGCAAGAAGCATGTACTTTACCAAAATCTGCTGGAAAGAAAATGGGTTTAGGAGTAAAGGTGCACAAAGCAGAAGAGCCCAGGAGGGGATTACTAGAAAAGGGGATTAATTTGGCCAGCACATTTTGGTGAGGTTAACTTAATCTGTGAGATCCTACAGCACAACACTGTAGGTAAATTTATTTTATGAGCAATTTATGAGCTCACATGCAGGGATGAGTCTGTGATAGTAAGAGGAAATGAAAAGCTCTTTACATAAGGATCTCTACCACCTCCCCTGCTAATCAATATACCTGTAGTCACATTAAAAAAAAAAAAAAAAAAAAAAAAAAAAAAAGAAAAAAAAAAATGAAGAACATTCCTATTTCAGCTAGGCTGATACAGGATGACTCATTTTTTGATGATATCACCAATTCCAAGAACTTCCACACTGAAGTTCGCACATATTCTTGTGCGTTTGGACAACAGAGATAATGAAGGCTTTGCAAATATCTAGAGGTAGGAAGCAACTGCATAATCTGGCTAAGAAATTTGGAAGTCTGTGATTTCTGCTAGATTGATAGGTCTTAATGAGTTCTCTTCAGGCTTGAGGGCTTTTAATGTTTGAATAAAGCAAAGACTTTTAAGATAATTATATATTTAGTGTGAGTAGAACATAGCTTTTCCCAGGCTGAGGAAGTTACAGGAAAGAATTAGGTCATATTGTACTTTCTGTAGCCCACCAGAGCACATTAACTTGGAAATCTTCCATTACCATAAGGGCTGACTTGGGAAACATAGCACATTTGAATCAAGAACATCAGAAGAGACCAGCAGGGTAGAAGAGTTTAATGTCAAGTGGCATCTACTGTGGAATTAACTCGTATCTAGCTGAGCAGGACTCCACAACTTTCCTTGGGCCACTGGGTAAGGCTGAATTAAAACTAGGAATTCTCTGTGTCCTCTGATAAGTATGTGAGGGGGGAAAAAAAAAAAAAAAAGCAATTCAGAACTCCCCATCTTCAGCAGAACATTGGCAGAAGTGTGACATTCTCACCCCTCCTATTTATTTTTAAGTGCTGCTCGTCAGCAAGCAGTGCAAAGTGTGTTACTCGTGTATCCTTCATCCAGTGCAGAAGGCAAGGACATAACCTACATTTTGCTGTGCACAAAGTCAGTGAGGGAGACATGCTCAGATTCATGCAGACCTGGAGCAACAAACTGCATTTTCTGTAGCCCTGGCTGCTTAATGTTAAGCACCTGTGGAGCTGCACTTTGAACTGACATTCCCAATGCACTTTGCAGACCTTGTGTGTTGCCTGTAACATTACTAAACCACTGGCTTTAGACGTGGTGAGGGATTAGGCACGATGTAAGCACCTCAGCTCAGTGAAATGCTGAAAATGCAAAAGGGTAACACTAAAATTACCCAGCTGTGCACTGATGAACTGGCAAACTCACTTTTTTCACCCAATTCCTTTGCTTTGACTTCACGTATATATCTTATTCAACTTATTGGCTTCCTGACATGCTCATTGGACCACAAGACACAATTTAGAGATATTTTATTGTTTCCCAGAATCACATTTTCTTACCTTTTCATTGAGGGGTTTTGAGTTGTGAAACTCTCTGCTTTTTGCAGAGGTCAAAAATAAAAATACTAAGAAAATATTTAAACAAATTAATAGAAAGGTCTATTGTCCACTCTGATTACTCCACTCTGGACTCCTTCTACCAGTCCACAAGTCCCCATGCCAGTATTTGTTATCAAGAAGGGCTGAGAGTTTTCTTCTTTTCTTCCCCTTCACTACTGGCCACTGTCAATGAAAGAGCCTTAAGCTAGATGGACACTTGCATGAGTCAGTCTGGCTGTTCTTACTCTTTTATTACTGGAAATATGATCTTACAAATGCTATATTTAATTCCCAGCAATAATTCTGGGCCTGACCAAAATGCCTCAATGTATGGGAAAAGCTTTTATGTTTTGTAAATGCACCTCAGATCAAATTCAAACACTGCTTGCACAGGAAAGAGAAGGTGAGGGATCCCTTCTGAGGTCTCTGTTGATGTGATCTCTTGAGCCTTGAATCTTTTGACAGTGTCATTGTAAGATACCATTCCATCCTGCCTCAGAATTAACATTTTTAGCGATGCTTTTATTGCTAAATACTTCTGCTTTTTACATTTAGTTCATACTTACATAGACAAGACCTTCACCTCAATGATGTCCTGCCTTAATTCCAGGCATTTCGTGGAGTTGTATTCCAAAGGCCCTTCATAAAACTCAAAATACCTGAGGAAGGACAAGAAAATATATCATAAATAAGGTTTAGGGTAGAATAATTGTCCTGGACATCAACATAATTTTGCTGAAAATTGTCATTTATGACTTCTGCCAAACTTGAGGCTGCACTGCCTGTCCCACAAGTAGCTTGTTCCTTCACAGGAAAGCACAGATGACCCTGCTGGGTCCAGAGCAGTCTCCCATGCCCAGTTTGTCCATTCCTACAGGAGTTCACCTATCTTGAATCAACGACAAGGACCAGCTACCTTTTCCAGCAGTCAGCACTTGGCAGCTGGAACTGAAAGTCACAGCAAAAGCACTGATCATTTAAAGAACACCTTTCCCATCTTTTGGGACCTGACTGTGCTGGGTTGGAAAAAACACTACCATAAAAGTGGAAGAGGTTGTATTCTGTCAGTGGAGGCTACTCCATAGCTCCTGAGCTTCTCACTGGGATTTACTCCTTTGGTCTGTATGGAAGGGAATGGAAACAGGGATTATATTCTGGGAAAAAAAAATTGAGAACAAAAGGATTTGAATGCTCAGACACAGCACAAATAACAGTGATATTCTAGATTAAAATATAGGCATAAATATTTACTTTATTGGGTAATTTCTTTACCTTAGTCACTGGACTGAAGGGGAAGAAAAACACAATGTTTTTACTCATGTTTAGGGGGAAAAAAAAAAGCCCAAGCTGTCAAGTAAACTCAATGAGTCTATGTTGAAATGACAAATAAGATTTAGGGTTTAATCCAAGCTCTGCAGCAGTTTCACTCCTAATCATTAGAAATCTGTATTAAAACCTAATTCCTAAGAATATATACATATACATACCCATAAAGCACTTCAGAGGACAATGAAAACTTAAAAGAAGATGACCTGGAGGAATAGGTAATATGAACAAGGCTAGAGGAAGCTCTTTTGATGGATCCTTTAAAATCCTGGAACTCATGAGGTTGTAACTCTAAGAATTCCATTTTTGAATCTTCATTGAGAAATATAAGATTTCTGGAAAAGCTTAATTTAAGCCATCACTGGAAATGCAATAGTTGAGGTTTGTGTCAGTGCAAAATAATTTCAAAATTCGTGTTTGACCCATGTGTGACTTGGAAAATTCCACAAGCCTCCCAAAGCAATTTGCTTTCAACTGGGAATGTTTCTGTCCTGCCAAATGCTGCTTTAGAAAGTGTCTCCTCCAGCTCTCCCTAAGGTTTTCACCACCTCAGCTTTGTCAAAGCCCAAATCAAACATTTCTGTGATCCAGTGAGAGGCACAAACCTTGAGACTGAAAGGAGGAAGCCCATGCTTAACAGGTGGAAGAAGTAGAATAAAAACATTCTTAATAAAGAAATCAGAAAAACCCAATGGCTCATCTTTAAAAAATGTGGCTGTTTGTAAATGTGTTTGTATAGCCTTCTAGGCAATAAAAATGAATTTTTATAAGTTTTGTAGAGTAAATTATGTAGTTAAAGTCTTCCAAAATCGATGAGAACTCTATGGAAATATTTTCTTAGCCTGCTGAAGGGAAACCTAACATGAATCTTCACCTGGGCTTTCCAAAAAGCTCCCACTCTCCCTCCCTCAGCTGAATTATTCACCTGGACATTCAGCAGTTACTGAGGGGAAACTGAAAGCCACTGCCCTGACACGTCTCCCATGTGCTTGTCTTGTTGAACAGGAGCTGAGCAACTTGTGAAAAGGTTTCAACTGGATTTGGATTAAGAGCCCACCTGCTTGCACCAGGCCAAAGCCCTGTGTGGATGTACTCCATGTAACTTCCCCAAACTAAACCAAAATATCTCTTTAGACAGCACCAGAGAACTTCTTACTGATCAATATGATGTTTCACAGAATTTTCCAGGGCTGAATGATTCCCTGTTGGCTACCAGTACAGACTACATTTTAATCCTGTGAAATAATAGTTTTTCTGACTTTCTTTTGCAGTATCAATCCTTTTCTTTGGCTCTTTGAGTCAGACAATGTGGCACCCTGGATGTGCATGTTCTACACAGTAACTAGGGGGAGGTCACACCCCCACACAAAACTCAGCACCTTACACACCCCTCCTGCTTCAGAGGATGTGCAGAAGTGAGCAGTGCCTATCAGCCTCATCCTCACCTGTCACCTAACACTTCATTTCAGTACCTTGAATGTGCCTCAGGACAGATAAGCGGAGCAAAAATCTAGATTAACATTTATTTTTATCTTTCCTGTGCACTTCTGGCTGTGCTGCTAAGTTAGAGAGCTGCAGCTCAGATGTCAAACAGCACATGCTGTCACGTGGGAACACCACAGCACGGGAAAAACTGCCTTCAGCCCGTGGCATTGGAGTCAAATATGTCATTTTACGAAACGGAGATGAAATTTCCTGCGTCCCAGCCATTCCCTTTGATCGTTGCCTGTTTACTCAATCCACAAACCAAAAATAGAAATGAAAAATGATGTGTTACCAAAGCAGCAGAAGGTTAAGGAGGAAAGGACTGGGTCAAAAATAAACCACTTCTGGATCTGAAAGGAAATCAATCCATGAAACAGCACTGTGTTTCTAGGAGAGCTATTCCATGAGCCTATAGATTGAGAAAGCACAGGACTGTCCTGCAAATCTCTAACTCTCACACCAGCTTCAGCTTTCCCAACAGAGGCACTAGGAGCACTGAATTCACCGTTTTCTACCTCGTGGAAGTGCAGAGGGAGGACCCATGGGCCAGGCTGGATGGCACATCGCTGATGGGACACGTGCAGCAAAGGCAGGGGACACCAATGGCAGTGTCACTCTGCGCAGAGAGGGGAGAAGATGCTGCTGGCCATGGCTTCATGATGACTGAAGCGAGCTCAGAGATGCCAAGCCATTGAATAAACATCCTTTGGGCTGTCCTCCATCAGCCCTGAACCTCACTGGAGCAGACAGACAGCCACTAAACCCTCCTTATTCATAATGCCACAGATGCCCCCGCACGTCGGCTGCAAGTGATAACGGTGCTCCAACAGCATTAAGAATTTTTCAAGACAGTGGCTGGTCAATAGACTCAGGGAAAAAGGGTTCCTCTTTTCTTCCCATGAGTGTTCATGCTATTTATCTGCTTCAGAGAGATTCCTCCTGCTGCAGACATGGTGGGATATTAGCAGAGGCCATTCTCTGGAGCACTGGACAACCTCCTCCCACAGAGGTGCTGCACATTATGCTTTCCTAGAATGCAGCTTTTGCACAACACCAGGCCCTAGCACAAGCAACATGGGCTCTCTCAACCTCCAGAGATGTCCTTTAAACCCACGTCCTCATCTTGCAAGGGTCTGGTCCTGCAGGGAGTGTTTGGAGATCAGGCCCCCACACTTTCCCAGAGGAAGCATCAGTCTCACCCACTCGCTGGTCTCTGAGAGCTCTTTCTGCCTATTAACTCCCACTCTAAAACATGTAGTTCCCTGTGAGCAAAGATACATTTGCCTGTCAGAAAGCTTAATTAGCAGGAATGGAGACTGTCCTCCCCATCATCCTCCTCAGTCTGATCTCCAGCTAAGAAGCAAGGGTATAGTTCAGTTTATTTTGATTTATGTTCTTGACTAGATCCAAGTGACAAACCTGACTGTACACTTACTCCTTTTGCTAAAGAAAGGGTCTGTGTTTTATCTTTACAAGAATGAAAGTCAAGTTTTATTATCCATAAAACAGAGTTATCTGTCACCACCATAAGGTCCTCTCCCTGCATTTTTCCACTTCCCCTGATGAAACATAAATAACTTCTATCCCTTTAAAGGTCACAAGCCTACAGGAAAACCAATACAAGAATTCATGATACTTTACCTTAAGACCACAACTGAAAATGAATTACAACACACAGTTCAATTGCATCTCACTGCTCTGTGTCCGCTCGCGTCAATCGTAGCTTTCAAACCTAAAGCACTTTTCCAGGATCAAATCCTGTGCCTGAACACCACACAAACTGAAAGTGTTTAGAGGGGACTGGTTTTTTACAGCCCACTGCACTGAGTGCCTTGAAATTAGATGCTATTCACTCTGTAATTTTCCATTTTTGACTGACTGAAACTTTGTTCTTTTCCAACCTTCATGTCCCCTGTTGCAACCTCACCTCCAGCTGAGCTGCCTACTGAGCTCACTAGTGAGAGACACATTTGGTTTCTCAGTACATCAGCTAACACTTAGGTCTTTGATCATCTGCAGTTGGGCTGCTCCTGCTTTGATCAGAAGTAAGCTTTTCTTGATCATACTACACGAATTAAAAAGCCCAAGACTTCAATCCTGCCTTCAAGTGATGCTTGGGTTGAGACACTGATTTGTCTGATATACTGAACAAAGGTTTTAAAGTATAATTTAGTTCAATGGTCAGGCATCTTTTAACCAGGACCATTTTCTCAAGCTGCCTTCCCATTCATTCTGCCTGTTCCTGCAGTGCCAGCTCTCGGCACTGCAGCGAGGCTGCAGCGCTTGCGTGGCAAGAGCATTGCAGGAAGGATTCCACCTACCCTGCAGGAAAAACAAAGATCTTTCCAAAAATATACATTATCTAGTGACTAAGAAATGAGAATAAATGAACCAAGCCCTGCAGGCTTCTACTAAATGCTTATTAAGAGTGCTGTCCAATTAGCAGTGCCTGTGCTCATCAGTATGGGCTGATCTATGACCAAACTTGGATCGAGATTCACCTTCCTTACCCAGGAACATTCCAAGTGTGCCAGAGCACATTCCCCAAACACAGGAGCCTCACATCATCTGGCAAGGCCTTCACGGAATCTTCAGGTCCCTGGAGCAAAAATACTGCTGGGGTGGAACCTACCACAGCTACAGAGGCCCTGGAAAATTAATCCAGAGTAGAACACAGTAGGTGTAGACTTCATCAGAGCCCATTGTGAGAGACCAAATCTCTCTGGCCTTTGCTTCTCTTAATGCTCCTTTGTGATAATATCAAAACTCACAACAGCTCTTCTGAATAAGAAGAAGCTCTTCTTACTGCATCCAGTTCTGACATTTCATCTTTGGGAGTTTGAGACAC